TTTCTTGCATGTAATGTTATGTAAGAAACGCACATTCAATTCATATTTTGACAAACAACGAGGGCGATAGTTTTTGCATAACGGCGTATCGAATTTTCGATGTGAATGGTATCCTACTAACCATGTTAATTAATTTTACTTTTGTTAAATCTACAGAGACTAGTAACATCTATTCAAACCGACATGTCAAGAGTCGACGATTATTCACATACAATGCAGCACCAAGGTATGTCAGATAATCTAATGTTTCTGCTAACGTATTTATATTTTCGGGTTTAGAGAAAGAGCAACAGCAACAATATCCCGAATCCAAATTTTTAGTTGTTGATTCATGTATGACTTGTGTATTAACATCCACATTTCAAGAAATTGTCGGCGATTTAGTTGTATTCTTTGAAAATATTGAACAATGTCAAGTATATTTAACAATGAACAGCAATAAAAAATTAACACTTTTCATAGCTGATGCATGTGATTTTGAAACAATTGTCAATTTACAACGGATCATACAAATACATTTTATTTATATTGTTATGAAAAAGAAGTCAACGATAATTAACAATTGTATCCAAAAATCAGTCTTAATTGTAAAAATGGTCGAGATTTATTTTTTCAATTAATAGATGAAATTTCATTATTCTACAGTCATAGAGACGAAGTAGACCGTTCGAAAATTGATCGTTTACATAGCGCACTTATCAGTGCATATCCACAGTCAGGTATAGAAAGGTAAGCGTTCATCATCATTCTTCTCTATATGTGATTTTCTATTCAGGTCAGAAACACAAGAACATTCCCAAATCGTTAGAATTTATTTGTCTGTGTCTGAATAAAAATGTATCTTCACTGTTAAATACAAATGCGAGAGTATTTTATGATACTACTAAATGCTTGCAGTATATTCAATTAAATGTTAATAATACAAATCAATTTATTCTTATATTACCTGATACTATTGAATTAAAAACTATGAAAAAGTTTGAACAGCTGTCGCAAATTAAATCAATTATCGTATGTACGAGTGATAAAAATTTAAATACTGGAAGCGGTAAAGTTCGATATTCTCCTAATGATGAAAATTTAGAGTTTCAATTAATGCACAACATCATTTTCAACGATGTAGAACAAGGAGATGCTTATGTTCAGTTAAATAATGACTCATTAGCATTAGAAAAATACTCGAACGCAAATAAAGTTTGCAGTAAACTCAATGAAATTTTAGCAACCGATAAACATTTGCATCATCTTATCTAGCTTAACTTTGATCTTCCCATTTCATGTTTTTTCCTCATAAAATTCAAAAAACAGGAATATAACAAATGAAAATTACATTTTATCACTTTGATATGTCTTCTAAAATTTCAAAGTTTTAGACTAAATGCTAACAGTGTACTTTCTGTTCTTTTTGCTTTCAGATTTTGACTGATGTCTTGGGACGCTAGCTATGGCGCGCATAAAAGTATAATAGTATTGCTGCATCAATCGGCTATTAGCCATATGAGTCAAGCTGATATTTTATCCGCATTACCGACGTTTATGTATTTAAAGTGTTTTAATTCAACAAATCTTTGTGGTCATTATTTCCAGCAAAACCTGGATAAACACATAACACTGTTCATATCAAGTGAAAATGTGTTCAGAATGATTGAGTATTTACGATTTAATTTTATTAAACGCATTTGTATCTTTTGTGATAATGACAGATCATTCGATCTGATGGAAGACTGGTCAAGACGTTACCCAAAAGTGACTGACATCAGC